GACCTTTTCAGCCACAAGGTAGGCCGAGTAGAACCCAACTCCAAACTGTCCAATCATGCTCACATCAGCACCGGCTGCAAGGGCTTCCATGAACTCCTTGGTTCCAGATCTTGCAATGGTACCAAGATTGTTCACCAAATCTGATAACATAGATATTCTTGTGGAATGAGTCATACATGTAACATAGAATAAAGGAAAATCATGATACGAGTTTCAGCAATCACTCACCAGCCTTGGTCATACCAATACCACTGTCAATGATTGACAGCGAATTATTTGCCTTATCAGGAATAATGTGGATGAAGAGCTCTGGCTGAGCATCGAGCTTGCTCTTGTCAGTCAAGCTCTCAAATCGTATTTTATCCAGAGCCTGAATCAGAGTTCCACATGGTAATTAGTAAAGTCATTTTAGAGCAATTTCAGTCTTCATTTCCATTGAGTGTACAAAACCCTTCACCATGATTCCAAACAAGTATATAATCATACAACTACGCAACAGGACTTCAGACAACTGTTCGATTGACAGTTAGATTAATCTAGAAAGAACCAACGACGAAATGAATTCTAGATTGAATTACTTTCTAACGATTCAAAAACTGTAAGCGAAAACGAATGTCAGAAAACCACCCATCAAAGGTTTGAATCAGAGACAACTATAAAAAGTGGGATAAACCCCAAAGAAAATTAACTCTCGAATTGTCGAAAGAAAAACCTAGTAACAACGCGAAAATCAAAAAATACATATACATACACTAAATACCTCCTAGAACAGTAAATAGACATCAGATATATGGAGATTAATCAGAAATACGAAGACAAATGAAGGGGAAATGACAGGAGACTCACGTCAGAGGAATTGCTGATAAGCTCACGGAGAAAGATCTCCTTGTTGCTGTAGAAGGTGTTGATAATCAGACTGAGGAGCTGATTAATCTCGGCCTGGAAGGCAAACGTTTCAGTATCCGCCATTGTTGAGGACGAGAAACAAAAGTTGTTCGATCAGCAATGAAGGAAATGGGAGGCTTGAAAGAGCAATTCGAGATCTGTGGAGGAACCGCTAGTTTATATATTAGGGATTTTACTAGGGTTTCTGGAACCTTCTATCGAAATTTAATTATGTAATTAATTTTTTTTTCTTTTTTCTTTTTAGTTTAAAGTATTTATTCCTTACGTGGACTAGTTGCAACGAAAAGTTCGAGAAAATGGGTTTTGGTAAAACCTAACCCAGGATTAGAGCAAGGTAAGCCGTAGGCCTGCCATGGAAACTCCACAGCCAAACAAGGCCCTAAGAATCGATGAAGAGGGACCATATTAAATGGCTTAAAGCTCAAAGCTATTTTAGCTAGGAACAAAAAGAAAAAGTAACTTTATTTTATTAAATGTTTTTTTTATTTATAAATTTTGCATTAAAAAAAAAAACTAAAAATATAGCATTTTTTAATAAAAATTACTGAGTTTTTCATATAGGAATTCATTAACTTTAATAATGATATTTTTTATATTAATAATGATAATTAGTGTGTTCTTTTAAGTCAATGATTTTTTTTTTAATAAATGTGGGTCGGTAATAAGCTTCTTATGGAAGAGTTATGCTTAAACCTACAAAATGACTAATCCATATATTAATTAACTATAATTATATAATCATTATTGTTGATGTGGATTTCTAGATGCCACACATGCCATGGTCTTTAACTTTAAGGTTCACCTTCACACATAAATCTAGTACTGTTATGGTGCTCTGTTGAGTGCACTCCAGTGTCTAAGTTGGAACTTAAGATGGGAGCAAACCGGTATGGACCAAGTAGAGTAAAAAAACACTAATCTTTACAAGAGTCTGTTTGAGTGTGTGTCGAATTATCAGAAGGAAATGTGTACCTTCCTTAGGATTTTTTCCTTCTTTAGGTAAAAGACAGATATTTAGAGGGAGAGGCAGACATAGAAGGTGGAATGTTGCACTATAGGGTCTTGGAGACCACCAACATTCGTCTTCCCTCTGTGTTATGCCAGAGGAGACGCGACAGTGTCCTAGACGATCCTTTAGAGTGTATTGCGATTTGGGCATAGGATGTCAGCGCTCTGACTACTGGCTATCTCTCATACAAACAACCTAACGAATGCATTCAAGTTTGGACCCAATGCACCCACCTTTCATTAGGTTGGGCTACATGGCTCAATTTGAGTTTGAACTCTTCTGGCCTTAGATTTAGCTGATAACCATTACTATCTAACATAGACCATAGAATTATATCAGTTACTAAGTTTATTTAGGAGCTCTTTTTTTTTTAATATTTTAAAAAATGAATTGACAAAATATAATTATTTGGAAACTATCTTTTTTTAAATATTGTATTTTTATGGAAAAAAAGAAGTTGTTGGGTCATGCGTATGGAGTGGTGATAGACAGCCTACCCCATATTTAGTCAACGGATTAAAAGATATTGCCTTTCTTGGATGGTATTTTTTCAAGGGAACTAAGAAAAATAGCATAAAAAGAATATGTATTTTTTACATTATACACTTTAATTTCATTTTTTGCAGAGGAAAGCAGTAATAATGTTGGGGTAGAACAACATTTTTTCGAGGTGGAACAATAATCTCCCACCCCCTCCGTTGCATCTTTCTTCTCTTTTAAGGGTGGAATAGAACTTACTTATATTACAATTAAAATTAAAACTTTAAAAATTAAATATTGGATCAAAAAGTGTAATTCACTCGAAAATATATAAATAATTTTAAAATGAGGAGATTAATCTATTTTGAACTCACTTATATTATGGCTAAAAAAAATTTACTTGTTTTAAAATAAAAATATGAAATTTTACGAATCAAATATAAATTAAACTCAAATTTCGATTACCAAAAAATAATATAAATTTCAATAAATCATTTTAAAATAAGTTAATTTTCACTTATATTAATTTTTAAGTGGGTCATATATCTCTATACTAATCAATATTGAAAAATCGACAAATAGTAATTTTTAAAAATAATTATCAATTTTTCAACCGTGGTCAGCACAAGATAAGTGCTCGGTGTGATATTTTTCTTTAGAGCCGAACCCGTGTCCCAAATGCAGGTAAAAGGAACTAAATTAGATCTGTTTGACCATTGAAAACATCCAAGACAAAGAGAGAGAAAATAAATGGTAGATTAGAACTCCTTCAGCCGACTGAGTGGGTACTCGTCGATTGCATCAACCATGAATAGAATTTCATAGCCCTTCTTCTTCAGTCGCTTTTGGTAGAGTGATAACGGAGCAATTCTGCAAGCTTAGACTTGTTTTGAGAGTCCTCGTGAATGCCAAGCTTTAAGTTCTTGGAGAAGGATCTCGGCGATTTCGAAGAAGAGCTCAAGGCACTTCTTGACCAAGTTCTTGCCCATGACCTTCAGGATCTTGTTCTACGGCAACATTTCTTTGGAAATGTCAAGGGGGAAGATCCTCAGGATCAACAATTCCCTTAACAAAGCTAAGGTATTCAGGAATGAGGTCCTCACGATTGTCCATGATGAAGACACGACGAACATACAACTTAATGTTGTTTAGTTTCTTCTTTGTGTCAAAGAGATCAAAAGGAGCCCTCTTAGAGATAAAGTGTAGGCTCGTGAAGGATGGTTAAGAACATTTAGTCTTGAAAAAAGATTTGAATTGTTCAAATCCGAGTAGTGGGTATCCCGTAAGACCTCAACCTGTAATGTAGTGTAGTGTAGGTTCATTAGGTCCCAGCTTGTAAATGATGGTTAAAAACATTTAGTCTTGAAAAAGGATTTGAATTATTCAAATTTGTTAACGGGAATCAAAGTTAATTGTATGAGATGCAATTAACGTAATGTATGTTCATACATTATAATATAAAGTTAATTTTGAATTGGATTCAAAATTATGAGAGTAATAGATATTAGAATTGAATTCTAATATGGTTGATTAATTTAATTATATGATTTAATTAAATTAATGAGATATGTTAATTTGATTAAATTAGATTAAATTAAATTAAAATTATTTTAATTAAATTAAAATAAAAGGAATAAAAAAGAAAAATGGGAGAAAAACCTCTCACTTTATAAAAGGTGGGAATTGAGAGGTGGTGAATGGGGAAGTTGTGACTTACCCCTCACTCTTCCTCCTTTATAAAAGGGAGGTTCTCCCCTTTTCTTTGGATTCCCAATCGTTGGTTGATTGAGTTTTTGAAACTCCAATGAGAAAATTTGTCTCGATCTCTCGATCTCCCTTTCAATTATAAGACGGTTCCCACAAATCAAGTTCTTAACATCCATAGGATAGCTAGGAAGGTCTTTGTATGATTGATATACCAACACTAGAGGGGGGTGAATATGGTTGCTTACGAATTTGTAGATTTTAAAAAATAATTTTAAGAATAATAAAAAATCAAATGAAATTTAAATACATAAATTAAAGAGTAGAGAGAAAGATGACACCAGAAGTTTTTATAGTGGTTCGGAAATCCTTACTCCACTCCCCAAGACTCCTTCTTGTGTATTTTACTACGCTGGCTCTCTTACGGGTGAAAACCAAACTGCTCGACCATCTTTTTTGTCTTAGGTTAAAGAGAAACTCTCGATCCTTTTTATTGGTTCATGATCCAACCAATTGTGTTTTCTCACAACCAAAGGTGTACCCACACCTTAATACAAAACCAAAAAACGTGAAATGAGCAATACAAAGAAAATACATCACGAAGGTGAATTTTCAAATTTTGCATCAAAGCAATAGCTAAAAAGCTAAACTCTAATGTATCTCTCACAAAAAAAAAAAAATTGGCAACTTTTTGTGTAGAGAGAATGAAAGTTTGAAGAGCAAAGTGATTTGAAGAGAGAAGAATGTTTGCTTTGATATATAATTCGTGTGTAGAATGGTGAAATTTGGTGGCTTTAAATATAGTTTCGAAGATGAAATTTGACCGTTGGATTTAGGGCAATTTTGACCCTCAGAAATTTGATTTATGCACTAAAACCCAACTTTGAGAAGGGTGAGTTAGGAAAAATAACAAGAAACCAATATGTGATGTGACTTAGACATAAGCGCATAAAACACGGTCCTATACATAGGCCCTCTGATCCATAAATGAAAATGAGTTGATAAATACTTTATAGGATTGTAATCACACATAGAAATATGATTGTAGGTTATCCTAGCCTCTACAGCAACTAAAAACGGTTCGTGAAAGAGTAGAACAAATAGTGGCTGCATGGTGCATATTCCCAAGATTTAGCCAAATAGTGGCTGGTGCATATTTTTCTGAAGTGTATATCTTCCATATTTTCCATCAAAATTAAGGTAGAAAGCAAAGATGTCTTGTTTTATTAGATTGCTTGATATTTGAAATCCAAAACAATAACATTTTATCACTATTTTCATCGTAACCACAATTCCATCTTTGAACTATTTCACTTCATTACTTGATTTTGAAAGCACAAGTCCCCGAGGATTCGACTTTCGATTACTTCCGAGTATTACTTGTGACTATGTACACTTGTACGTATCTCTTATCTTTTGAAGGTAGAGAAAGTCCCAACAATAGCCACCCTCAATTAGACAACTCCTACCATGAATTTTGAGGCCAGTGAAACATAGGTCCTCCATTAGCCTCATAATGACGCCTTGGTCATTACATTAATCATGGCAAACGTTAAAGTTGACTGTGTATTGGTAGACGGAAGCTCGGCTAACGTCTTCACCTTGCAAGCCTTTGATAGGATGAACATAGGCAGAGAACGATCGAAAAATTGTCTCACCCAATTAGTTGGATTTGGAGGAGAGCGAGTCTATCATGTGGGTATCATCGAACTCCTTGTAACTTTCAGGGACGGTCAATGTACTTTGACCAAAAATCGTTCAATTTCTAGTGGTAGCTCTCGCATTAGCATATAACGCCATTCTAGGACGACCAACAATTCACAGTTTGGAAGCTGTCCCATAAACCTATCATCAGATCATGAAATTTACGACACCGCAAGGGAACATGATTATTCGGGGAGAATAGCGAGCGAATCGAGAATGCTATAACACAACCCTACAGGATGGTTTCCACAT